TGTTCTATTTATATAGACTAATTTCCAAATAGAATAGTTTGTTAATTTGTTTTAAAGCTTAAATTTTTGAAAATGAAATATGTTCATTTATTATGTACAATATTAGTTAATTAGTCAATTGTTTATTATGTTTTAACTTTATGTGATTTCAATCTTCTCTGTTAAATATACATAATTACATATGCATTAAAATTGTATTATTTTAATATTGATACACATTATGCGTAAAACTGTATATTGACACATATCAAAATTGTGACTGCTAAATAAAGTTGAAATTATTTCTTAAACTATCGTCTTTCTTCTATATAGAGATACGGGTTAAAGAGTAACGCCCCAACGACCACGGCGTCACACATTCATCAACTAATTAAAACACAGGTGTCATCAAATCTGACATGGGTGACTGCATTTAATTCACCATTCTTTTTAGCTTATCATGTATTTTAAATGATATTTATAAAACGTATTCAGGAAATTATTGTGATTTATCTATTGACAATCAAGTTACAAGTTTAACAGAATTATTGCACACAAATGCATTATCGACGTTTGGCAAACATTCTCGTCACAATGGAAAACACACACAAAATCATGTACGTCCAAAATGGTTTAATGAAAATTGCTATAATGCAAAAAAAGATTTTAAAAAAGCAAGAAATGCATTTTTAAAGAATAATACTTTAGAAAATAGAATGAACTTCACTTAATTCCGTAAAAAATATAATAAGGTGAAGCAAAAAACAAAATATCGCTTTAAAGTACAAGAAGGGCAAAAATTAGAAAGCATAGCCTTAAAGGAACCCAGAAAATTCTGGAAATCTATAAAACAGTCCAATAAAAAGTCAACTTCTAATAATGCTGAAATAAGTATTGAAGAATTACATGACCATTTCAACAATCTTTTAGGTGAAAATACAACTCAAAACATAATAGATGAAGATCTATATACAGAAAATGTCGAAGATGAAAGAGCTAAATTTTACCAATTACTGAATCGGAGATAAAAAAGGCTGTATTTAAACAAAATAGTTTTAAATCACCCGGTCCGGATAATATTTCAGCAGAAATAATTAAAACGTCATACGATATTATTTCACAAACCTGGTTGTTCTTTTCAATAAAATATTTGACACAGCAGAATATCCTGAATCATGGGGTTAGGTTATATTGTGCCTATATTTAAAGGTGGGGATCAGAAGGAAGCGAAGAATTATCGAGGTATTACACTAAATAACATCTTGTCAAAAATCTACTCGCAAATACTCCTAAATAGATTAACCGCATGGAGTGAAAAGTATGAAAAATTATCAAATTGTCAATTTGGTTTTCAAAAGGGAAAAAGTACGGTAGACTGTATATTTATTTTACATTCTATCATATCAAAAGTATTAAATAGCGGTAAAAAACTTTATACAATATTTATTGATTACGAAAAATGTTTCGATAAGATTAACCGCTCTATACTATGGCAAAAATTGATAAATCAAAACATAAGTACAAAAATGATTAATGCTATAAAATCTATGTATTCTGTTGTTCGCTCTGCATTGAAACATAATGGAAAAATCCATTCCAGTTTCATCAACTCACATCAAGGGGTCAAACAGGGAGACCCGAGTTCTTCTCTTATGTTCATGATGTTCGTGAACAGTATTTATTAAACGATGTAGAAAATTATTGCAATACATTTTGTTTAAAAATAAACACAAGTAAAACGAAAGTCATGATTTTTGAAAAAGGGAGACCGACAAATCACGATTTCTATCTTTATGGCGAAAAACTAGAGGTGGTTTCATCCTTTAAATACTTGGATGTTTATTTTTTTAAAAACGGTAATTGGTATAGAACGCAAAAATGTATTGCAGAGCATGCGTCAAAAGCTTTATTTAGTTTATTTTCTGTGTTTAATCAATTCGAATTTAAGGTTTCTGAAAAATGTAAATTATTTGATACAATGATTTCATCTATATTAAACTACTGCTCGGAAATATGGGGTGGAAACGAAGGTAAAGATATTGAGCTGATTCACACTAAATTCTGTCGAAAAATACTTGTCGTAAATAATTCTACAAACTTAATCGGACTATATGGTGAACTCGGTAGATTTCCAATGAAAATAGTAAGAAAGGTTAATATGATTAGGTATTGGTGTAGAAACACAAAACTTGAATGGCAATTCTGCTGTTAAACACATATATAACATGATAGTTAGTGATTTAGATAGAAATATTACATATAACGGTTCTAATTGGGCATTTCAAATAAAAAACAATGTTAGATAATTTAGGGATGTCAGATATTATGGCGAAATCAAGGAAATCAGGAATATATATTAAATGCTATTAAACAAAGAATTTTTGATCAATACACCCAGTTTTGGTACAGTGAAATTAATAACTCACAGAGACTTCTAACTTATAGTAGATTTAAACATTCATTTGAACTTGAATCATATCTTGATAATTATTCGATAGACAAAAAATTCAAAATAGCACTAACTAGGTTTCGTCTGTCATCACATAACCTAGAAATTGAACGAGGAAGGTATAATAATGTAATAAGAAGTGAAAGAATATGTCAATTTTGTAATCTAAATGTGGTTGAAAACGAATATCACTTCCTATTAACTTGTCCATTATACTCAAATATTAGAAAGAAATATCTGCGACGTAATTATTATACATGACCATCTTTAAATAAATTTGATCATTCATTTTGATGATGACAAAAAATAAAAAAGAAATAGCAAATCTCTCGAAATACTTATACTTTGCAAATAAACTTCGAAAAGAACTTGAATAACTAATTATCAGCTTTCATCTAGCTTTTCTTGAAAAAAAAATTATTTCATATATTTTATTTTTCCTTTTTTACATTTTGTACTTAATAATTTATTCCAATTCTGACTGAACAAAACAGTTTCTCTCTTAAATTACTGTTCTTGTTTATTTGTGACTTTTCTCTTGTCTTATGGTAGTGTTTTTATTTCATGTGTAACTACTACAGATGTTAATATGTAGGCTAGAAGTGATGTTAGATATTGCTTTATGCTGAATAAATGTTGTTGTTGTTGTTGTTGTTGTTGTTGTATTGTAATTATACATGTAATCATAGTGAATACTGTTTAATTGGTCATGTAATTGATTAAATTGTGATTAAATTACAGGAAAAAAATATGATTACTGATTACTGTGATTACTCAAAAAATTGTAATCGATTTTAATTAAATTAAATTACCAATTATGACTACCCCATGTCTGTCTACAAGCCACGATCAAGATCACAAATAGGATCAACGTTCAGATAGAAATATGTCGTCTGACCACTTAGTCAACATTTATTGAGGGATTGAATAACTCATGGTCATTATCAAGTCTACGGGTGTAAAACATGTGTGAAACATGTAATTTATTTTATTATATGTTAGGTCAAGGTCATTCAAGATGATTAGATAAAAGGTTTAGAGACTTTGTCCGAGCATATCTCCTACACGCATTGGGTGAATGTTAATGAAACAGCATAAAAATGTTCACCACTATGAGAAGCAGTGGCATGTGCATAAAAATCAGATCTTAAGATCAAAGGCAAAGGTCACACGGAGAGGTCATTGAAGAACGCTTGTCCGGAGTAAAACGTGTACATGCGTAGAGGGATTATAGAGTAACTGAGCACAAATGTTCACCTTTGTAGGACGGAGTGTCGTGTGCAAAATGTACGTCTCTGCGTCAAAGGTTAAGGTCACACATATGGGTAAAAGCTCAGATAAAAATATGAAAATGTGTATATGGACCATTAAGTCGTCATTTATAAAAAGTTGAAACACATATTGTCATTTTTATGACTACGGGTGTGAAACATGGAACTAAAGTTAAAAATACATGCAAGGTCAATGTCACTCAATGTCGGTCAATGTTCACTTCTATGCGAATCTGTGTCGCGCGCATAACCGAAAACTCCAGCTCAAAGGTCAAAGTCACACTCAGAGGTCATTAAAAGCCCTTGTCCCGAGCTAAACATTCATTTACGGATTTCAATGTAACTTGGGACAAATATTTACCATTGGAACCAGAATGTCATGTGCAAAATAAAGGTCTTATAAAAGTATGAAAATTTGTACTCTGACCATTTAGTCATCATTTATTGAGGGATTGAAACACAAATGGTCATTTTCATGACTACGGATGTGAAATATGTAATTAAAGTTAAAAACATATGCAAGTTCAATGCCACTAAAGATGATTAAATTTAGAGGTTTGTCCTGAGCATATCACACATGGAGAAATTTTAATGAAACTTTAAAAGAAATGTTCATCACTATGAGAACAATGGCGTGTACATGAACCAGATCTTTAAATCAAAGGTCAAGGTCACACTTACAGGTCATTGAAAAATGCTTATACGGAGCAAAACTTTTACATTTATCGGTGATTTCAATGTCACTTGGCACAAATGTTCACCATTGTGAGGCTAAGTATTCTACGCATAATCCAGGTCCCTGTTACAAATGTCAAGGTCAAAGGTAAGATAGAACTAAAGATGCTTACAGGGACCATTTTGTCATCATTAATTGAGGGATTGTAACACAAATGTAGCTTAATGACTACAAGTGTGACACATGTAATTAAGGTGAATATTTGCAAAGTCAATGCCACTAAATATGATACAATATTCAGATATTATCAGTATATGCCCAGAACATATATCCTATATTCATATCTATAATATCCACATCTCTGTGCTTTTGTGACGGGGGTATTTTGCGACTATGTTGCCCTTGTTATGTTGTACATTGTAAAATTTAAGAGCGAGTGAAAAGCATATCATTATTTTAAACAACAATAAATATCTACAAAAGGTACAAACAATTTCATGAATTCTATTTATAAAGGAAATGAGTACAGAAACGTATTGGAAGCACGCAATTTTCGGCAAAGCTATGTAAATACATGTTGTAATTTTAAGCTGATTCAATACAATATGCTGTTGCATATACTTACTACTTATATCTAAAAGCTTTACACCTGTGTAGCAGCTAAACACCCAGCCAACAATCCATACTGTCCCGAGAAGTTGTCTTAAGCCAGCCAAACACAAGTCACAGCACCTTTCGCAATCAGTGTCCTCTTCCTCATCACAATCAGTAGCTTCAGGATCTTCAGATTCTATTTTTTGTGCACAACAACACCAGCTAAACCCGGCTATCATTGTTCCTGTTTACATTGTGAAGATAGGATATAAAAGTTTGTAAATTAGTGACATGATTTAGTGAATAAGAGGCGAGGCCTCTTTAACCGTAACCCTTTTTCATGTATAAAGTAGGCACTCGTGGTTGCTGTCTTCACAGCTATAAAGCCTTCTTTGCATCGTTTTCAATTTTCAAAATTTTCAAGGAAAATTGATATCTCTCATTCGATAATAATAATAATAATAATAATAATTATAATAATAATAACAATAATAATAATCTTTTAATCTTAAACTTTTGTTAAAACATGAAAATGAAACATGAATTATATATTTTCATGCTTTTCAATATTACATTTGTATATTACTATTGTTAATCTAACTGCAAATTATGTGTGGCGAAAACATGTATATACGTTTATGATAATAAATACTTTGACTTGACTATTAATGATAATAATAATTACCAAATCCAGGTAGCATAAAATTGATAACACAGCACACAATTGCCAATGGTAAAGGCAATATAGGCAATTCAACCCACATCCTCAAACTTTCTGTCGTAACAAAAGGTTTTTTTCTGAATACTGTCAAACAGTCCTTTGTTCTTATTTTTATTCTTCCTTTTCGCTAAAACTTTAAAAAGAAATGAAAGTTGTAAGCAATAAATATTATCTAAAATAAAACCTTAACAATTCAGTATAACAAGAGTGAAATAAAACAAATGCCCAAAAAGTTTCATATTGAATAAGGAAAAACAACACCTCCGTGATTGAGCCATATATCTAATATCGAAAATTTAATTTGAAATAAATCCCAATTATTAACTTTAAATGTTGAATTATTGCTACATCGCAAAATATCGAAAGAAAGATTAACTAAATACAGCGATAATAGAATCTAAATCAAGGACTAGTGTCCGATACAAGGAAGTGAGAGAAAATTCATTTTGCAAGTTCATGGTTTGGTAAATTTCAATAAGATTAATAGGTAATGTAATAATAAATATTATTAAAGACAATGTAATCAGATCAAAAGCACTCACCTCGTTGAATGAAATTTTGACAATGTTCTCTTTGTGACGATATCTGTTATTTGTTATTTGTAAGATAAAGATTATTCAAATAATTGTTAATAACCTAAACATAATTATGATGACAATAAGAAGCAAATCTCAGTGTTATATGCACTGAGATTTGCTTCGTCACCTATTTATTGTAATCTTTAAAACAATACTACGTACATAGTGCACAATACACATTTTAAAGAATTAGGGCAAAATCCCGCGGTTATGATATATTATACAAGGGAAAATTTATCTCCCTTACTCTCCTCGATGTATTTGAACGATCTTAAAGATTTCTTTCAAAATAATAGTAATACACGTGGAATTTTGCTTCATAATGATCAGAATATAAACGAGCTAAACAATTTTTTACAAATCTTTATTCTGTTATATGCAGATGACACTGTTATTATGGCCGAGACAGCAAATGACTTAAAAGAAGCGCTTAATACATATGAAAGATATTGCGATATTTGGAAACTTACAGTCAATATTTCTAAAACCAAGATAGTTGTATTTTCAAAAGGGAGACAAAGAAATTATCATTTCACTTATAAAAATGAACAAATCGAAATAGTAAATGAATATAAATACCTCGGCATATTTTTAATAGAAGTGGTTCTTTCGCAAAAACTACACTTATTTAGAACATGCCACAAGATCGATGTTCAGCCTGATTCAAATAGATTAAATTTACCAATTGACTTACAAATTGACTATTTTAAATAAAACTGTTAAACCAATATTACTTTATGGCTCTGAAATGTGGGGATACGGTTATCTGGACGTTCGACGGCCAGTTATTTCATATACGGGGAAACGGGATACATGCCATTGTTTGAAGATATCGGGAAAGAATAGTTCGGGCGCGTCTACTTTGAACGAAAATGGTTTAATACCAAATAAATTGTCATACTTTATATATCATTATATGTTAAGAAATACAATCAATATTTATGATAATGATTTTTGAACGTAATTATCCGTGAATTTGTAATTTAAAATCAATACTAATAAAATGCGGTATCAACAATGTTTGGATTGATCATAATTTCCCCGGTACCAAATGGTTAAAATTAACAGGAAAACAAAAGCTAAAAGATCTTTTCTTAAATGAATGGTATTCAAAGAGAAATGAATCGAGCAATAGTTCTTTTTACAAATTTTTAAAAAAAATCTTTTGGAATAGAACCTTATCTTTCGTACTCCCAAAATGCAATGATTTTTAATTATGTCAAATTCAGAACAAGAAACCATAGATTACCAGTTGAAACTGGAAATTGGTCAAATATACCTGTCAATGAAAGAATGTGCATTTTTTGTAGAAATATAATCGGTGATGAGTTTCATTATCTTTTCGAATGTAATAGATTTTCTAATGAAAGAAGACAATTTATAAAACCATATTTTTATAGACGTCCTAATATGTATAAATTAGAAAAAACTTTTTACAATGAAAGATTCGCCTGCATTTTATAAACTATGCAAATTCTTAATGATTATTATAAGAAATGTAAGAATGTAATCAAATATTTTTGTTTTCATTTTAAAGTCAGTTGTTATTTTGTAATGTTCTGAGATATAGTTTTGTTTTAATGATATTCACTTACCACTTTCTTACTTTACAGCAAAGGTCCTTTATACCTCACATATACTTTTATTTTCATTTCTCATAAGTCTTAGTTTTTGTTTTATTTTTGTAGTATTAAACGATTAATCACTGGTTTATTTCATGAATCATCTTTCATTTCAAAATTTGCTTTTTAGAAATAAATACAAGTATAGTAAATAAGCATTTTGTATGGAAGTTAAAATATTACTTTATTTATTTTAAAACTTTTATGACATATTATATCACATTTATAGCTACATTCTCCTAGTAATAAATATCTTACATTCTGTTCAAGCAATATTTAAATGTTGTAAAATTCAGGTTTGCATTTTCTTAAGAAGTTAAAAAAAATTGTTTCCTAAGCAAAATATGCATATAATTTAATAATATGTAATAGATATGTTGATATTGTTTAGTAATTATAGTCGGATCTTAATTTGTATAAATGCCTCGTTAAATATTTTGACATTATCATCATATTACATGTTGTAAGCATGTTTGAGTGAATAAAAAAAAGATGTGTTGTTGTTAAACAGTCAATACTTTATCATTTACTAGACTTTAAACAAGCACGCACACTCGCGCTCACGGTTTTCTATTTGAACGTTTAAAATAATATCTATAGCTTGTTAAAGTGTGTGTCAATAAAGATTATCGCTATGTATTTTTCAAACCCCAATGAGTCATTTATCATCGAAAAATATCAAATTAATGATAAATGGCCAAACATGATAATTACGCGGCCATGGCGTGAAAGAAATACAATACAAACAATACAAACTTCACTCATAATTTTATTTGACCGGCATGCGTTTTTTGACGACATTTAATAACGAAAAATAATATTATATCTATTCACGGAGTTAAATACGACATTGTGCAATAGATCATTTGAGAAAAAATATATTAGTCTAAAAGTGAGTAAATATTACACTTGCAATATTAATTTGTGTGCGTCTTTTTCCAGAATTTTAAGACAATCAAAACTTAAGATTAGATTTATTTTAAGATGCTATCGATTGAAACACATCATTTTTCAATCGTAACGGATGTTTTAGAAGTTGTTTCATCGTCTGTTTCAGGTTGAACAAAAAGGATACCTGGATGCCATCCACTATCATTTCCTAATTTAGCGGTCACACTCTCGTCGTAAACAACTATTACTTTTTGTTCTTTATTGTCATCATTTATCGTATAAACATCTGTTACTAGCTTCAACCTGTGGTCTACATTCGGGTTGTTTGAGGCCGTAAGACTACCGCTAGGTTGTTCAGTAATGGGTCCAGAATTTGAACCTGGCTGTTCGATGATGGACGTGGAACCAGCATTGTGCCCTACGCTAATTGCATCTACCTTGTTACCTTTATGATATTTTACTGAAAATAAGTGAATGAAAGAATGATTCACCTGGAAAAAAATTTGATGCTGCATGCCTTCAGAGCCAAACTATATGAAAAAAATTAAACTTGAGAAAAACGTACTAAGGTTTTAAGAAATGTAAAAAGTTTCAAGTAATAATATTCATGGTATGTGCAAATTAATGATTGATTTTGCAGTATTTATCACCATTTTCCTACTGCGTAACTACTGCATTAATAGTTATTTTTCCATATTTTGTCCGCTTCTTTGGTAATTTAATAATTTACGTAATATTTAAGTGCCGTTTGCAATGTGTTTATTACTTTCTTTGTTCACTTCAAAATATTTTTTTTAATTCATTTTTAAAATTTTGAAAATTAGCTAGATTCTGAAAAAAATGCCGCTTTAAAGCTGCACTAATTTTTATACGCCCGTTCGTAATATCACAGTTTCATCCCTGGCGAGCGGTCTGGCGGACGGGCGGTCGGGCGAGAGGCGTCCAATTTTGTCCAGAGCATATCTCCTACACGCATTGAGGAATTTTACTAAAACTTCATAGAAATGTTTACCCTTATGAGAAGCTGTGTCGCGCACATGAATCAGGTTTCTACGTAAAAGTTCAAGGTCACACTTAAAGGTCATTGAAAAACGCTTGTCCGGAGCATTTTCAATATAACAAATGTTAACCATTGTAAGGCGCAGTGTCGAGTATAAAATTTAGGTACCTGCAGCCAAGGTCAAGATCACAAATAGAGGTCAACGTTCAGATAAAATATGGAAATATGTATTCTGACCATTTAGTCAACAATTATTGCGGGATCGAAACGCAAATGGTCATTATCATGACGACGGTGTAAAACATGTGTGAAGCAAGTATTTTAGGTTAATATATACAAGGTCAAGGTCACTCAAGATGATAAGATATAGAGAGTTCGTCCGAGCATATCTCCTACATGTACACGCATGGAGGAGTTTTAATGAAACAGCATAAAAATGTTCACCACTACTATGCGAAGCTGTGTGGCGCGCATAAACCAGATCTCTAGGTCAAAGGTCAAGGTCACACTCTGAGGTCATTGAAAAATGCTTATCCCGAGCTAAACTTGACATGCATAAAGGGATTTCAATATAACTTTGGACAAATGTTCACCATTGGAAAGTGAGTGTCATGTGCAAAATTAAAGTCCCTGCGGCCGAGGTCCAGGTAACACATAGGGGTCAAAGTTTTCTAATAAAAGTATGAAAATTTGTACTCTGACCATTAAGTCACCATTTATTGAGGGATTGGAATACAAATGGTCATTTTCATGACTACGGGTGTGAAATATGTAATAAAAGTTAAAAAATAAAAATATATGCAATGTCAATGCCACTAAAGATGATTAAATTTAGAGGTTTGTCCAGAGCATATCTCCAACACACATGGATGAATTTTAATGAAACTTGAAAAGAAATGTTCATCACTATGAGAAGCAATGTCGTGTGCATGAACCAGATCTCTAGATTAAAGGTCAAGGTCACACAAGTCATTCGAAGCAAAACTTTTACTTTAATCGGGGATTTCAATGTAACTTGGCACAAATGTTCACCATTGTAAGGCTAAGTATTGCACGCACAATCCAGGTTCCTGTTACAAATTTCAAGGTCAAAGGTAAGATAAAACAAAAGATGTATACAGGGACAATTTAGTCATCATTTATTGAGGGATTGTAAAACAAATAATATCTAACATGACTACAAGTGTGACATTAATATTTGCAAGGTCAAGGCCACTAAATATGATACAATATTCAGATATAATCAGTATATTGCCCAGAGCATATCTCCTATATTCATATCTATAATACCCACATCTCTGTGCAAAGCTTTTGTGACGGGGGTATTTTGCGACAATGTTGCCCTTGTTACAAAAATGTTGTTCATTGTGAAAATTAAGAGCGATTGAAAAGCATATCATTATTTTAAACAACAATAAAGATCTACCAAAGGTACAAACAACTTCATAAATTTTATTTATAAAGGAAATATGTACATTAACGTTTTAAAAGGAAGCTGTTTTCGGCAAAGGTATGTAAGTACACTTTTGATTTTGAGAGACTATTTTCTATATGATGCCATACAATATGCTTTTGCATATACTTACAACTGATATCTATAAGCAGTACACCTGTGTAGCAGCTAAGCCCCCAGCCAACAAGCCCTAGTGCCCCGAGAAGTTGTCCAAAGCCAGCCCAACACAAGTCACAGCACTTTGCGCAATCAGTGTCCTCTAACTCATGATCACGAGCTTCAGGATCTTCGAGCTCTACTTTTTGTGCACAACAACACCAGCTACAGCTGGCTATCATTGTTCCTGTTTACATTGTAAAGCTAGCATATAAAAGTTTGTATATTAGTGACTGATAATTTAATAAATAAGAGGCAAAACCTCTTTAACCATAACCCTCTTTCATGTATAAAGTAGGCACTTGAAACAAGGCAACGATTGTTGATGTTAATTCAGCTTTGTCACCTTCTTTGCCTCGTTATCAATTTTCAAACTTTTCAAGGTAAATTGCTATCTTTCATTCGATAATAATAATAATAATGATCTATAACAAATAATATTAATGATAATAATAATTACCAAATCCTGGAAGAATAAAATTGATAACACAACAAAATATTGCCAATGGTAAAGGCAATATAGGCACTTCAACCCACATCCTCAAACTTTCTTTCGTAATCAACAAAAGGTCTTCTGAATACGTTCAAGCAGTCCTTCCGTGTTTTTTCTATCCTTCCTTTCCGCTAATATCGAGCACTTTAAAAAGGAATAAAAAGTTGTTAACAAATCGGTACAACAAGATTGAAATGAAAGAAATGCCCCAAAAGTTTCATATTGAATAAGGAAAGACAATTAAATAATGATTGCCTCCACCCTCCCTGATTGAGCCATGTATCTAATATCGAACACTTAATTTGAAATATATCCCAATTAATAACTTTAAATGTTGAATAAGTGCTACAATGCAAAATATCGAAAAAAAGATTAACTGTATAAAGCGATGTAAAATAAAATTAAAAACAATCGAAATAAATCCAAGACTAGCGTCCAATACAAGGAAATGAGAGAATTCATTTTGCAAGTTCATTATTTGGTTAAATTTGGTTAATGGGTACAGTGGAAATAAATATTATTAAAAACAATATAATCCGATCAAAATGGGACCTTAAATCACCAGGCAGTCGGCTGTATGAAATTTTGACAATGCGCTCTTTGTGCATGGCTTTATTTTTATGTAAGTCATTTGTAAGACAAAGATTATTCAATTAATTGTTAATAGCCTGAATATATCATGATGAACAATTGGAAACAAATCTCAGTGTTATATGCACTGAGATAATTGTTCGTCACCTATTTATTGAAACCTTATTAGACATACTCTTCAAAACAATACTACCTACATAGTACACAATGCACCTTTTTAAAGAATTAGGGCAAAATCCCTCGGTTAGGATATACATGTATTATACAATTAAACAGTCTATACTTTATCATTTACTAGACTAATAATTTCTCCAGATCTTCATACTAGCATAATGTTCAAAAGTATGTTAAATCTCGGTCAAAACAATAACTCTTTGATGATGTCACATATAAAGAATATTGCATATCAAATCACAATAATAATAAAAACCAAGGAAAGGAATATAATAATAATAATAATAATAATAATAATAATAATAATAATAATAATAATAATTATTATTATCATTAACATTTTATTTCTAAATATTAATTAAGAAAAACAGTGCTTTTGTTGTGTATGCATTATCATCAAATGACTTTTTAAAACAATAATATAATGAAATACTCACTCTGAACCAAGCAAAATATTTAATATTTTGATTACTCCATTTTCACTAGTCATGTCAAAAAAGGCAATGGCAATGGCCCCTTTAAACATGAAGTGTGCCAAAATCTTTTTGAATATGTACCATATCAAAGTAATCTGCTGACAATAAAAAACAAAAAGATAACCGTCAAGTTAATACCCTTACAATAACTTGTTGAAGCATTTATTAGGTTCGTTATATTTCATGCACCGAGGCAAAATATATTCATTACTTTAGCAAAGAATTAAATGTGAATGTAAACACTTTATAACTATAACAAAAGCGTGTCAAATTAAGTACAACACAGAAGTCATATTCTTAAGGAACCCAATTCAGAAAACAAGAGGGCCAAGATGGACCTAGATCGCTCACTTGACTCATAGAACTCGTCCAAGCAATTATTTACAAGCATCCTGACCAAGTTTGATGACAATTGCGTCAAAAATGTGACCAATATAGTGTTAATAAGGTTTTTCCATATTTGGGAAGTGTGACCTAGTTATTAACCCATATTCGAACTCGACCTAGAAATCTTCAAAACAAACATGCAGACCAATTTCCAGGATATTTGGATAAAAACAGTAGCCACTAGAGTGTTAACATGATTTTTCTATTTTTCGCTCCTGTGACCTAGTTTTTCATCCGAGATTACCCAAGTTCGTTTCTATCCGAGCAATAATCTGGACAAGCATCCTAACCAAGTTTGTTGACAATTGAGTCAAAATTGTGACCACTAGTGTTAACAAGTTTTTTCCATATTTGGGCGATGTGAGCTTGTTTTTGACCTAGGTGACCATATTAAAATTTGACCTAAAAATCATTGAAACAAACTTTCAGACCATTTCCAGGATATTTGGACTAAAGCAGATAACAAGATTTTTCTATTTTTAGCTCCTGTGACCTAGTTTTTCATCCGAGACCTCATCTGAGCAATTAACTAGACAAGCAGCCTCACAAAGGTTGCTGACGATTGAGGCAAAAATGTGACCACTAGAGTGTTAACGAACAAATGTGGACGGACTACTGCAACGTACGACGGACATTCAACGCTCCTAAAACTAAAAGCTCACCCTTAGCTAACTCAGGTGAGCTAAAATAATATAATTGACATATAATTGATAAAATACATGTAGGTTGTATTATTTTTCTCCTTATAAAAAAGCATTTCTGTGCATTCCACGACATCTTAATACATTTAATTTCAATTACATGTAATACATATTTTCGTATTCTAACTTATATTAAATTCTAAAATTACTTTACATATGCATGTATATATTTGCATAGTTATTTTACAAATATTGATATAGTTTTTTTTTTGTACAGATTTTCGTGTTTGATTCTGAATGTATGAGTACTATATATCATTTCCGTATAGTTATTGTATTGGTGGTATTGGATTTTTCTACGAGTGGTTCTAGTATTCCTACATGAATAGTGTATATTAACCCTAAAGATATGCAAGCTGATTTCTAATTTTGTCATTCGACAGTTGTAAGTTATACTATGGCTTCTTAACCTCCGATGTCCTCTCAAAAATTCTTTTTGTTCCGTCCATTTTCCTCATTAGGGTACACCTGGAACGTAAGGACACACACACGCGCGCACGCTATGTGTGTGTACCACGGTATGTTGGTGTGTTCTACAACAACTACCACGCTGGGTATGGAGAACAAACGCACACATGACGCCCATTCTCAATAAAATAAAGCATTTGAGGTTGAAAAATATTAAAAATTTGATGTTGTCATTTTGTCATTTTTTATCGCTGAAGTAAAAGTTTAGGGTATTTTGCAAGTTTGCCAGAAATATTTTGAATAAGAAACTATGATATAACAGGATGGCATTTATTTCGGTAATGACACTGTATTTCTTCGGTAACGTAGATTTCAGATCTAATAATGTAACATATTGGCTGCATATTAATACCAAATGTCTGTAAAATATATCAAAATCTGTAAATTTTCTATCTAGAGGGACTTTCTAACCCAGGAAAATTCAAAGAAGTTGGGTACCTTGCTAATTTTCAGTCAATTTTTTCAAAGTTAAATATTCGTAGAAAGCAAAATAGTCAATTTTTAAAATGATTATTTTATGTCTTCATTCAAAGGATATATATCATATAATATATGAGAGGTCGCATGCATACACAAATTTTGTATTAGCAATTTTTTTTCTCAAAATATTCAACTTTCCACTTTCTTAATATTTGGAAAATTTAGTACTAAACAGTTAGATATTTATCCCCATATAGGATGTCACGTATGTTTCATTTTATTCAAATGCAAGTAAAGGTTGAGAAAACAATTTTATTTTTTGTAAAATAATTTATATTTATGGATATTATTTTAACATTATTATATATAGAATGAAATACGGTCAGTAAGCTCTTTGCAGAAACGAATTAGTTGTTGCTGAGAACATCAATATCTTGTAATATATTTTTAACATTTCTGCTGGTACATCAACATATTATTAACATTTCTTTCCTTTGTAAAAACAATTTTGTGTCTTCTTACATCTAATACAAGGTAAAGGTTACTAACAGGCATGCTAATCCCAACTTTATCTTTAATTTTCAAAAATTGTTGAATTGTAAGTTGGAGTAACGTATGTTTCACACTCGCTTATTTATGAACTTTATCACGGAATTTAAACTTACATGTAAAATCGACTTTTTTATTTAGGAATCAAATGCACATCATTCTATTGTCATAAAAATGCGATTTTATGTTTTTATATATGCATGTGTAAACAATATAAAGTCTGTTTGATAAAAGTAACGTTTGTTTCACTGTGGTTACTGAAACAAGTAAAAACACGACCAAAGTAAACAAAATTTTCTTACTAATGTCAAATAGAACTTAATGTTGATGTTATACGTACTTTCTGACTTCAATTTCCCTTTTGATAAACTTACTTTAAAAAGTTGATAACGTATGTTTCTGTAACGTATGTTTCATTTTTACATTTAAAGTGGGTTAAAAATGAAGCAAGACCGTTTAAGCCGCCATTATTTATGGTTAATATATCAGAGTTACACACATGTTAATTTTCTTTCTTGTTTGGATTCTTCTTTGAATGGATTGGCTCTTAAATAATGGTAACGTATGTTTCTTTTTAAAGTGCTGTTGAAAAGATTTGAATAAAAAATGAAAATTTCCGAAAATAGAATGATATTTGAGAGGCTGCAAGCTTTTTTTTACTTATAACTATATATATGCTGTATTATTAAGCATGCATCGATTCAATTATGTAAGTTGGGATTCACTTCTTATTGTTTTAGGTTTGTCACTATTTATTTATATGCATTTGGCGACATTTGATCATCCATTATACCAATGAGATTTTAACAGTCAAATATAATTTTTACCAATAATCAAAGTGCATATACACACAGCAATGACTAATTGCACATGTTTCGTTTATTCTGGAACTTATTTTTCTGAAACACAATTTCAAAGTTGAAAATTATAGGTGGCGACAGTAACGTATGTTACATTTTAGGGCATTAATGGTACTTGTGAAAGAAAAATAACAGATAGAAATGTAAAACTGAGTGTGTCCCTATTAGACAAAGTGGCAGCCACCTTTCTAACGACATTTTGACCTCAAGAAAAACCTTCGTATAAGAGCTACCAAGTGGAACATCAAATGCTGTGTTTTATTGAGAATGAGCGATGAGCGCACGTACACACATTCGTTTTGGACTACACACCACTTTTCAGGGTTAAGTAACTTAGGGCCGGGAATTATATTCGAATATTCGAATATTCGAAACACTACCGAATATTCGAACATTGAAAAACGAATACGAATATTCGGAAAAAAGAGCAATGTTTTATTTTTGTCATTACTTTCAAATTTCAATGAAGATCGTAAATTAAACC